ATATATTGACTGAGCAATTATTTAGTGCCACTTAATAACCTTTTCTGTAATATAAATACGACTGTACAGCTTGAAAATGAAGTCGTTGAAAAGAAATTTCTTCGCTGAACAAAAAATTGATATCTTAGTCTATAGTACTTGCATATATATATATATCTATTGTTGATGACTATATACAGCCAGTCTGTAGCATATTATCCCGGCAACGTTGTTTCGACTGCAGGTGGTGTCAAGGATGAAGATGTCAAAGTCAGTTAGAACCGGATAGAGAAAACAAGACAGACAGTCTTTAGTCTGAAATCGGATCTACAGCACTCACCTTCTGTTTCGAGTTCCCCTAAACACGAATATCATGTCAGTCGGTGATTCTGTATAGTTCAGAGATTTGACTCATGTGTCACCGAATTCGTTCACAGCACGCTACTGCAGACTTTCATCAACAGTTACCTTCACTCGACATTGAAGTTATTGAGTGGCCAGCCGGAAAAGACAAGCACAGTGGAATTCTGGCAAGTAGCAAAGCAGCTAACAACACACTCTGAGGCGACTGTCGACTGACATGACACGCCAGGCAGTCAGTTGTAACGATTTAGGAGTTCGAGGATGACATGGTGGAGGTCGTCCGATGAGAGAATGAAATATTTGGGCTAGTGTTGACACCAGGTGGAAATAACGTTAGGTAATAAGATACAGTGATGATGTGCTGCTGAAGCTCTATTTTCCACTCGGAAGGCTTGGAATGATCAATAATAATATTGGTAGAATTGTTGTGAGAAACGTCTCTCTAGGAGACTTCTGAGTGTGAAAATGTTTACCACATGAAGAGCAATATGGAACTACTATCTGTTATAAAAGTTTCTCACCGTAGATACATTGCATATCTGCAAGTCTGAAATATTTGGGAACTCTAATACGTTCCTGTCTACTCATGACGAATGAGGAAAAATTGATTAGAGTTCATTTCTAAGCAGTACTGACTTCAGGTGTTATGTAAGTAGACCTTGTATACCACCATTTCGCGAGACACTCTTATTTTAATTTCTGTCTTATTAGACTTAATTGAAATGGCTTTCATTTGAAGAGGTAAATCAGTGGTCAGATTACTAGTGAAAGCAGTTTAAACTCAGATTGGCCTTAGACTAAGGTGCCACTCGCGATGCCTTGTAAATAGTGAGGCTAAAACAGCTAAGGCACAACTATGGCGTTTCTTCAGGAACACCGATGGATTCTGTTATTACTGGCGTTGGTGCAAGCCTGAGGTATCTGTAAAGCAGGAAAAGCAGATAGGTGGGAGAACTGAACGACGGAAATCATTCTAGATTGAGAATCATGGGCAGTACATATCCACACAGCACTTTCCAGTTACAAGAAAATCTCGTATACCATTCAGCCACTGGGACCCAATTCAATGGCTCATGAATGCTAACTTCTACCAATTCAAACCCCAGTGGGTGCGTATTGCCGATGATTCCAAAATCAGGATCAAAGAGCTGTCCAGTACTCCCTAGTTTTCAATGGTTCTCTAACTGATATCAATCCGCGATCAACTCTTAAAAAAGTAAACTAATGCTTGCAAACCGATTATAGGAAAGTAAGTTATTCAGTAATTAGAATAATTATGCAGGTGGGGACTGTTGGTCAGCATTATATAAACAATCGATCTAAGTTCGACTCCTGGCTGGCGAATGCATAAACTTTGCCGAGTTTACCAACCGCGTGTAGCTAGTAACGGAAAAACGGTGCTCAGGTTCTCTGCTTCATTCTTTCCTTCTTGAATGCTTCAGTGACATACTTTGATGTAATATTGAACATTTAATTTGTTCAGTCAGGGAACCAGTGAAAACCAGGAAGCACTGGATAACCGTTTTGATTTACTTCCTGATTCTTCAGAAGTACGAACACATCAACCACCACTCTTGAGGCAACGAACTCAGGACCTCAAGTTTACATGGGGCATTCAACGAGCATTGAATCAGTGGAAAGCAAACTGATGCACAATTTTACCAAAGTCTAATCTAAAACCTATTTTCATAATGCCTAACACACATCATATTTAATCAGATTGAACCGTTTTGATTATTGATTAATCAATAGTGAAGTCAACAAGGTGGATTTATGCACCCTTGACCTGAATATCTTAGCCATAGTGAAGGTTTTATTACTCTGAATACAATCTGATTGGTAAGTTTCTTACGCCTTGCTAATGAGCTCTTGGAATCGATACAACTCACTGAAGATATACAGATAAGTTCTGAGCGATGTACTGTTGTGTAAAGTGTCTCCTCAATTCAAACTCACATAATAAAGAGCACAAGCATTGACAAATATTAGGAACGGTAATTGTCATAACTCATCACTTCTGTTGAAACCGTCTTTCATAGAAATAATTGTATACAGACGCGATTGATCGGCTTGGGAGGAGAATGAATTCACCTACAAAGGGAGCCTCTTCGCTGAGCACTACCTGTCTCGTTTCCATCAATAATGTCTGGATTTGGGATTATTCATGACAAGCATGAGTAGTTGGTTACCACTGATATCAGCCAGTAGTGTTGGCCAGCTAGCCAGGTAGAGCTGATGTGAAGAGTGGACGGCCATTACTTGCGTTCAGAGCAGAGCTCTTGAGATGTGTGTTCCGTTTGACTCAGCTCAGTGAGTCGAGTCAATTCAAAGCATCCCAATTCTGACCAGCGAATTGGCAGTAGATAGCGACAAATTGGCAAATTGCTTGATATAATTAACGACAACCAATGACATGTGCTGATATGTATGCTATTCGGAATTCGGATGGCTTGGCCTAATTCGACTCTGTCAGCTGAATCGAACCGAGCACACCACACACTATTGAACTCAGCCCCAAATGAGGGGAACAACTGTCCTCTGTTTAGCTCACTACCCTCTGGTTGATCAGTAAGCACACTTAGTGGTCAGTGTGAGGCATGTATAGAACTGATCACAGAAATCAACTAGGAGTGTATTCCATCAGACATCTAGATGCTCATTCTATGAAATGACATTCATGATATCAGTCAGATTACACATTTCGACAGAAAAAATTTTGCTTTTCGAAGGAGATGGTGATGAAATCACACGTTGCATTGTGTAAATAGGCAGTCGCAGAATCGCAGATTCCTACTGACTAATATATCATTCAAGACTCAGATTTCCATGAAAACAAAATTCCAACTAGTTCACATGGAAATTGTGAAACTCAGATTATTTCCAATGACTTTCATTGTCGTCTGAAAAAAAGCGTTTGATGATTCCCTGAAGCTGTCAGTTATTTCTTCAGTAGTTGTGTTCTCAGCAGATGAATACTTCGTGTGATTGTGAGCAGAGTAATTCCATCCGTCTAAAGTGACAGTGACAGGGTGGTGAACAGCTATAAGTGCGACTGACTTCAACTTACCTAACACCAAAGAGTGTGCCTTGCTTAATTATTTTCTTTTCAAACACAAAAGGAAATTCTAAGAATTCGGATGAAGTGTCAGTTTGTATTGCTCACCTAACTTGAGTGGAGCTGTAATACAACGACACATTACACGTGTACTTAGAGGGCACTCTTCCAGTGAGCCATCGACACTCCGTGGAAAACAAACTGCCAATTTTTCCCACCGATTTGACTATAACTGAGATTATTTGGTGAGCTGAGGGAACCCGGACAGTCCTAACATTCTAGTCTGTAAATATCCAATGAAGCAACACACCACCTTCATTTTTCCGGACAACTGGACTGTTGGGTAGAAATTCAGAGCCACATGGCTTCAAACTTCTATCAGTTCTCAAATCAAAGCCACAGAGACACATCGTCGTTGGTAGATACTCGCTCTCATATCCAACAACTTGATGAATGGTGTCAGTCATGGCCTGGTAAAATTGTGTTAAGAAAGCAAATAATCACAAGGGTCAATGAATCAGTACTCAGATGCAGGATTTGTACGGGTATGGTTTACTTTCACACACTGGCCATCACCTCACAGCGTGAAAATTCTCAATGTGTTGATGGAGCCGATTAACAATCCATTTCTTGAAGATAAAATTGCAATTCAAATGTTGGTTTTCTGGGATTTGATTGGTTAGGGGATTTCATCATGAGCTGACATCAGTTAGAGAACCATTGAAAAACCTGCACGGAGTACTGGATAGCTGTTTCGTGCTAGTCTGTGTCTCCATCAGGAGTAAAGTTACGAAAACCAATTCTACTGCCTTACATTAATCCGAAGTGCAAATGATTCCTCTGGTATGTGAATTTTGTCGAACTTCCTACATTTGATAGCACGAATCTAGGACTGCAAGAAAGATGCCTTCTTCAGCACCTATAGCTCTTTACTTTATTATACAGCTCACTGTGCATGGATCTCGTTGAAAAGGCCGAAGCTAGGAGCAAACACGCATTGAGTGAACTCTGGTTTCTCATCGCTATTGGATGACATCACTGTTTAGGCTGAATACAGCGGATATCTGTTGTAGATTTCATATTCCACTACAAATCTTGTCTAGGCTTGAGCACGACTCAGACAACAGGTGTTTGTGGAGTAATTCGTGCTATTTTAGAAGCAGACAGATTTGAGATACTCATTGTTATTTTATTTTGGTGAATTGAACGTTTCAATTTCGATCACGGATTGATGTCAGTTAGAGAACCGTTGAAGAGCAGGGAGTGCTAGACAACTGTTGCTACTTGCCTCGAGACATCGTCAGTACACAGTCACTGGGGTTCCAACGCTCGACCTTCCAGTTACTAGTCAAGCTCGTTAACCATCCAGCCACTTGAATCGCGATTCCACTGTCAATGAAATCTACATTCTATCAATTCACTATTTCGCCACCATCCCTGATTCTCCAACTGTCATTGATCCGTGACGTAAGTTCAGATAAATCAAATCTCAACAAATTATCTCTTGAAAACCTCAACATATGCATATATACATATATGTGTCGCTCGATACAATATGCAGTTAACAACAAGGTTATGAATACCACCAAATTTGCAGACTTACCAAGAAGGTTATCATCCATAATTAGTGATGTAGACAAAAAGTACAGAGATAAAAACAGTGCTACGAGCAGAATACAGTAGGGCAATCGAACAAGGTGTTGCCGACGATTATGATGACAAAGATGCTGATGAACAGTTGAAAGGCGTTCTGATTGCAGTGATGATGAGGATGATTTACTCCGCATTCTTGTCACATTAATCTATTTGTGTTAAACACGGAAACTAGTAGGTTGTTGGACATTAGCATGTGAAAGTGACATCACAAATTTACTTATTTAACAATTGATTTAATTCACATACTTACAACATCCAATCACAGACTGTGAGTGAAGACTGTTTGATTATGCATATTTGTGTCGGTGTATTTGTTTGTGCGTCTTTCCGTGTGTGTGTTTGCGTGTATGCATGTGTCTGTTTGTTTTTGTAGCCTTATTTGTTGTTTGAGAGACAGAACACACAAATGCACACACACAATTGACTAATGATTTTCATTCTAAACAATCTATGATATCAAGCCTCAGATCTACAGAGTTAATATTGACACAAGTGTAGCACAGATGATTAGTCTAGCCGATTGATCTGAATGTATTCTTGCTTAGTAGTGTTTGTTCCTGAAGCGGTTTCTGAGCACATCATTTTGCAGTCATGTGGAAGGTCTCAAGTAAATCTTCATTTCAATAATTCCTGCTTGACTTGTTACAAATACGGAGACTAACTGAACACTGTGTATTGCCTAACCATCGAACCAGAACATGTCTGATCACTTTGAACGGGAGAAATTTGTAAGGGGTCACTTCTTCTCATTTCAACCAGCATCCTTTCAAGTACCGAGAGTCAGAACAGTGGAGTACTTCGAAATCAGAAAGGATCTGGAATGCAGGGAAATTTGCATCACTCAGCATAATCAACTACATTCTGATTTTCACTATTAATTAAAACGACGCTATATAGAAAAACCACACACTCTGGAAGATTCCTTGATTATCACTCAGCTCATCCACTCACCGTGAAACGAGGACTAATACAAGGTCTTGCAGATAGAATACGTAGACTTACAACAACGCCAGAGGACCAGTGTAAAGAAATAAACGTCCTATTCAAAATGCTACTCGAAAACAACTATCCAAAAGAATTTATAAAAGATAATATGAAAAAGAGAAAAAAGAGGGTAAAACCGGAAAATAACATGATGGAAGAATGCACAAAGACAGTCACAATGCCATATAAAAATGGTACATCAGAGGCAATCCAAAGAAACCTCAAAAATATCGGCACTCACACAACTTTTAAACCGACAAATCTAATCAAAAATAAAATAAATCAACTGAAAGATCCCATAAAAATGATGGATAAAAACAACTTGATTTACAAAATATCTTGTGCCTACAAGAATCTTGAAAAAAATTCATCGATAGCTGCACATGCATGGGACAAACCCACAATATCGATTGGGACAATGTGTGTATTCTAAAAACTAACATGAACAAATGGAAAGAAAGACTTATAACAGAATCGAGATTCATTAAAGTCACACCGGATACATGTAACTAGGGTGTTTCAGTACAACTATCAACAACTTGGAATATAATTCTGAATACAAAAAACAAATCATAAATGTGTGAATAAAACAATTCCAACAGTGGTGTGAACACGGGCAGTAATTTTGCTCGAAATATTACCAATAACAAAACTTATCATTGTGTGTAAACTATTGAAATATAATTATACTTTATTTGATCTAATCCAAAATGCTCAAATTTTTTACTGATATTAACTCACTATTAATGTTATGTCAGTTATTCTATGGGAAACAGGGGGATGGGCATGAGCCTGAGCGTGATATTGAGGAGATCGGGTGAGTTGGAGGAGATGACAGCCTATAGGCATGGTGGAAATAGCTGAAGAGGAATTCAGAGAGGCGAATCACATAGAGATGTGATACTGAAGCTCTATATCCACTAGTAAGTCAGGGGGAAACACAGTAATAATAATAATAAAAATAATAATGAAAGTTTTATCGTATCACATGCTACTATCATCACTCAAACACTCATCCATCTTGTCAGCTTCAATTTGCTCAATGTTTATTCCATGCAAATACTTGTTTTGAGAACACAATTTAGGCAAGCAGAGTCATATTTTCGGTAGATTCTCTTCAGGCTTCACAACTACATCATAAATAGAATATCGGTCATATACGTTGGAATCAATACGGATGAATTGAGTCAAATATAATCGAAAAGGATGTCAGTAGAATAGTGATAGTGACGGTGTAAATAATAATGCTAGCCGGGATAATTATCCTGAGTCGGCGTTGAAATCCATGATATTGAAAGGGATTGAAGAACCTGATCCTGAACACAAGGGTTGGGTGTAAACATGCTTATGGCGACTGCCTCAGTTGTGCTTAGTGGTTGAGGGCGTTCAAACTTAGGGAATTGAGGCGGTACCATGTATGGAGTTGCCAAGACGGAATATCTATCTGTTAATTGCTTTCCATTTCCCCTCATGTCATTCCTTCTCTTGTGTTCAAATGTATACTACTCATCTCTAGTGAGTAGTGCAAGTTGTGTTTCTTAATACTTTAAAGTGTGTGTCCTTATCCGCCATTCAAGCTAATTTCACCCGATATATTCATAGTCTATTAGATGTGTAATAAGTATTTTCTTATAGTAGAACATTATTTGCTGTACACGCTTTATTCCTGTACTCTTTCCCGTTGGACATTGTTTATCCGTTTCCCTTAATTCTGTGTCTGGAATTCGCGAGCTGCTTGAATAAGACGTGGATCGCCCGTGGAACAGCTCTGATGTTTTTACTTATTGACTCACATCGACTGTGCTTTTTGACGACACTCAGCCACAGCCACCTCACAATTCAGGTTTGTATATTGTATTTCATATTTTGTGTTGAACATATTGCTGTATTTTAGACGAATCCTGTGTTTTCGGATTTTACGCGTCAGTCCATGCGTGGCTTTTAATAATCGTTTGATTATCGTCTCGAATTTCTTTTCGAAGAAATTCACAGTGCTCAATTTGTTTTCGTTGTTATCTTTGGACCATTATCAGTGACGGTTACTCGAAGCATGTGGGGAAAACTGGAGATCGCCGAAGAATATTTACGAGACAATCTTTCTTCGCCACAAGTCCCTTCCTAACCTGTTTCCTTTTCTGGTTTTGATAATTGTAAGCTCACCCTTGACGCTAGCCTAGGTTCTGGCAATATTTCTATGAAAGGTCGTGTGGTTGCAGACAACGATCTTGTCTCAGATGCTACAACATAGTTAGAGGTCCTGAGTCTTTAGATTCAGAAGCTTGAGTTGCGCAGAGAAGTGTTGGAAATGAAAGGTGGGACCTGACAACTTACCTTCAGTGGAGTTGGCAAGGCTCGACCAAGTGACAACCAGTTGGTAGGCGAACACGCCCACAACACCACCAGAAAACACACCCATCTATGGTCTCCGAAGTAAGCGGTTTCAGCCCATTAGTCCAACAACTGCAGAATCTCTCAATCCCCATCAGATTGCCTCAAATTGAGACTGACGAGTTCGGTGGGACACCAACTAAGTTCTGTAGCTTTATAAAGTGCTTTATTACAGTAATAGGAGAACAAACCAGTGACGACTGCCAACGACTGATGCATCTCATACACAAATGCGTTGTAACAGCTAAAGTGGCTGTAGAGCACTGTGTTCTGTTACACGCTAAGATAGGTGGGCTAAAAGAAAGCCTTGTAAAATACTGCGAAGCCGATTTGGCCTGCCTCATGCGATTTCAGAAGCCTTCCCGTCTGACCTTTCGGTAGGCCGACGACTCCACCCAGAAAATATAGCTGGCCTGCAACGTTTGTTTAGACAGATGATTCACACAGCCGACCTCAATTGCTCGACCGATCTTAAGTATGTCGATCAACGTCTGCCTCGGCACCTGCAATGGAAGTGGGTTAAAGGTAGTTTAGAATCCTCTGAGCCCAGTTTCCGTCGTCTGCAGAGGCATCTATCACTGGCCACAAGCTGTTGCAGCCAAATAGCGAATGGAAACAGGAAGAAGGGCAACACAGAGGCCAATGATAGATATTCTAAAGGTGTACATCCACATCGTGCTAACGTTGTGGTGTCACGAATCCAGAAGTCATGCATGGTCTATTATGGAGATCACTACTTATGTGAGTGTCAGCGTTCTTAATCGCTGAGTCACCAAGATGGACTGGCATTGTCCATGCTATATAAGTTGTGCTTCAGCTGTTTGAAGCCAAACCATGGAGCTGATTATAGCTTAGCGTAGAGAGCTTGTGACGCCCAGTTTCCTATTGATATGGTTAATTCATGAGCAGTATTGCATCCTACATAACAAGGAGACTGTTTTGAGCCAGGACATGTTTTTCACAAGTATACTGACTGCATTGTCGACCACTATCAAAGTGAGCGAAGGCAACAAGTGGCGATGCTTAATGAATAAGTCATTCTATAGCAGGAATATTTCGTCACTCGACTGATAACGAAGAGGACATGATAAGTACAGTCAGTTTATCACCGAAAGTATCCAAAAGTGTTTACAATGACAAAAGGGATGCTCACTGTAGTGAGTGACGAGTGCACCAATATTTTTATTCACTCATACACGATACGAAGTCGTCGGAGTGCAAGTCGATTTGACTCAGGCGAATGCACTGATCACTTTGAACGTTCCTGCTTGCTCGATAGAACAACCATAAATCCGCCCAGCCCCTAGGAATGCCAAGAAACGCTGTGAAATTCACATAGAAGTAACCCGGTGACAATCGACTCGCTGTTACTGTTGACTTAATTGATGCAGGCTTGATGTTAAGTTCAGTCCACCTTCACTATACCATGGGAAACTAAAGGCCCTTTTATCTCTAACAGGCAAGTGAACTTGAAGAAACATCTCCTCAATATCGGTTGATAATGCTATCCGATGCCTCCTGAATCGCAAAAGCACTCCAATCAAAACATTCATCATGACTGTCCCTGCGTACAGACAATCATTCAAGGACATTCCCGACATCTAAATGTACAGTCGAACACCACTCTAATTTTACCAGGCTTGCGGGGATTTACTTCTGGGTGATGAGATAGAAATTTACGTTTGCCGGATAGGTGGTCAGCAACTTGACTGATATCGCCATCAAGCTGGTGGTTCGCAACAATGAAGTGTCTGAACCATTGGCAAGCAATGCATGTGTATCCAGAAATCCTCTGGAGCCTAACATCCGAATCGGCACATATGCTAGTAAGGAAATTCCTGGTCCTCCCCTAGCATAGTTGACAGTTTTGTTCACCGAGTCGTCTTCG